ACCAAAATATTTACTTCCCAAAAGACTCACTTTGGAAGAGGTCATCAAGAGGACATGACCACCAGGTGACCTAGGAGCTGGACCTGGGCCCTCAGAGGCTCTTCACCCCCTCTCCTGCCCTTGGAATGTTTGCTGGGCCACCATTCCCATAGTGGGAGCCATCTGCAAGGACACAGTCCTTGGAGAAGAAGGGGTTGTTGAGCTCCCTCTGGACTGAATACATACGTGAACCCCTTCAAGGCTGCTATAAAAACCTAAAGATTCTGGCAGGCAACACATTATGGAGATCTATTTAGCTTGCAGCTGCTGCAGACAAAGCTCATATGTAAATTTCCTTGCCAATTAAACCTGCAACTACCAATCCGGTGTGACGTGTTTTCCCAGACTCCTTGCCCTCCTGTACCCAGATAGGTTTCCAATTACATTCCGGAAACTCCAAGGGCTGCAGACCAACAATAAGTCATCAAAATTATTACAAAATAGGCGACTGGTGTGACAGGGTCCAGCCCCTGGCGTCACTGTGCCTCCTTCATGAAGCACGCTATGTGAGTTCTCTTTTCCTCCTAACCACTCACACTCCAGGAGCACTTTGTTATTTCTGTTCTACAGATGAGGAAACTGAGGTCCAGAAACCCAATCAACAGGGTTTTTAATTTCCTGTTCTATTAGTTCAAGAGCCACCAGTGTCAGGTCTCTGTCTGGGCTCAGGGCTGGCCAGGTGTCAGGGAGCACAGTACAGAAGCCCCGGGTCCTCCAGAGGGCAGCCACGCTAGTTCCCGTTTGTGCAGGTTCAAGCAGCAATCATCGGAGAGGGCTCTGCTTGTGGTGTGAAGCCCTCCTGGCAAGAAAATATCTTCCTGGGTAGAGCAGACACTAGGGAATAATAAGGGCATAAGAGAACTTACTCCCCCCAAACTTAAAGGTGGCTTTTTCCTTTTACGGTTTTCCTAAGCATTTACAGAGACCAAGACAGCAGGTCTCCACAACTTATTTGGATAGCCTGGTTATGTGAACATCAACTTTGTTCCTATTCAAATATTTACATATTTTTTAAGTCTCCATCCATAAAAAGGGGATTGTCTGTACCCTCTGTTTCTAACACCTACTAGGTAGAAGGATTAATTGTCTAATCACAAGGCAGCTATGTAAGGATGATCAAACATTGTAACTGGGGTATTTCGGCCAGCTGGACTCTCCTGGCCTTCAGATGCATGCATTCAATGTCCGTAGAGGGAAGTAATGAAGAACACTCTTGGGTGTCAGGCAGAAATCAGGCGTGGGTCTGATTTCTGGCGTGGTCATTGATCAGTTTCATGGACTGACGCAGGTGAATGTTTTCTCCAAGTCTTAGGTCCGCATTTTGTAGTTCTAATAAGCATTGTTCTACCTTCTGGATGCAGTTGGGGAGAGGAGTCTAGGCCACTGCTTCTCTGACCTTCTGCTTTTGTAGTTAAGATAATTAATAGTGAATTTACACACATACACATAACCCTTTTGGAAATGTACATGTGATAGAAAATGAATTGCTTCTTACAGATGTCAGGAAGGCAACAGTGAAGCATTCATAAGCTTTGCACTTTGTAACATTTCAAGCAGGTACTCTGAGTTATTTAAGATAACTCATTAAATGTTCATTTTAATGGCCTACTTGTAAGCACTTTTGCTTTCCCTGCTGTCTAAAGAACTGGGTTTCGTGACTGAATATTACTCTTACTATATGGTTCCAAATTTTGGATGATTACCTTTTTTATCTTGACCAAATTTAAGAAAGTTTTTACCCACAGATAAAACTAATATTGATTCAACCGATGCTTACTGAGGTCCTACTGGCAGGTGCGTTGCCGGGCACTAGGCAGATAGATGCCAAGAAAAGTGAAAAAGGGATTCTTCCCCCAAGGAGCTCATCATCTAGTTCTGGATGTCATTCCCAGACCATCAGAGTCAGCATCATCTGGGGACTTGCTAGAAATGTAAATTCTCAGGTGTCACCCCAGACCCGATTACATCAGAGATTCTGGGATTGACCCCCCCCCAACCATCTGTGTTTGAAAAAGTACCCTTTGAACAACTAGCATCATCATCAAATATCGTAACAACAAATAGGTTAGTTTATTAACTAAATCTCAAAATTTCATTTATCTTTTGAGGAAACAGAGGCCAGGGGGCAAAGGCCACATGAGGTGGAGAAATTAAAACCAGAATTCAGGTATCCCCCCTCCAAACACACACTCAAACCTACACACAGCCAAGGTTCTTTTTCTTTTCTGACACTTTAATCCCTAAATCTGATGGGGAGCCCCAAGTATTTCCAACCCAAAGTGAAAACCTTCACTTTTCAAAGAAAGCAGAAAAAGAGAGAAACTACTCTCTTCGAAAATAAGGACCACTAACAAAATTCAAATCTGATCTATCAAAACCATCCAGTAAACTAGCAGTAATTTCCCAAACCTTTAACAGTCCAAGTCCCATTTTCAACATTTGAAAACTAGGAAGGCTGAGGGAGAGAAGTATAAAAATACAATGGATAACGTGATCAGAATAAAATCTGGGAAAATATACAATATGCAGAAATATCAACTGTGGTTCATCTTCCATGGGAGAATGACAATCTTTTTTCTTTGTATTTTTCCGAATTTTTCCCAATGGTTACATATTACTTTGGTAATTGAGAAAAAAAGTAAAACTCTTTTTTGAAATGTTACCTCCAAATCACTCGACATGAAGGTTTATTTTGTAATTCCATTTCTCTCCATACAGCAGGATACTGTGTGTGTGTAGTAATTATTTATATCATGCCATATGTTACGATGAAGATGAAATTCAGTAAATATATTCCTTCCAGCTGGCACTAACATGAAGAGGTTAAATGCTTTCCTAGGTTCAAAGCACTATGAATTAAGATAAGCTAACAGCGAAGCTAAAGGAACATTTATTGAAATCTCTGAGAGCATCCCTTTTGAAAAACGTTGATGTGACACATAGCTCCTTACTCATACCGCCCTGATGTTTAACCTCTGGCACAAAACAGAATGTTCAGCAATTCCTGGCAAAGTCTTAGGAGTTCAGGGGATAAAATGCATGGGGGATATTAGAGAAATAAGAAACAGATAAGAAATAAGAGAAAAGAAATAAGAAACACATAAAATTATGTCCCTGTGGATAAAAAGACGTCCAAAATTACTGGCAAATTTCGTTGTCCTCAATACCCTTTAGAAAATGTTTTTTTCTTTATCAAGAAATGTTTGCTCATTAAAAAATATCTATATCAGTTACTTCATTCGAGAAGTCATAAATAAACAGATAAATAAATAAGAACCATCTCATTTAAAGAGACGTTTCTGCCATAAAAACGCTGCTGTAATGTTTCACTTTATAAGACAAATCCATCACATGATGAAAAACTAGCATTGCTTTACTGAAACTCTGAGCAAAAGAAATGCAGTGAGTGTTAATTCAAGTCTCTTAAATGAAGCAGGGAAGTAAAGTTAACCAAGGTGATGACTACAGAAAAGGAAATCCTAGTGGCTACCTGTTTTACCAAAATATCTCACAACAGCTGATATTTCTAGAATTTACAGACGATTTCAGAAAATAATGAGTTATGAGGTGTATATATTATACCCCAACATTTATAGTATCTAAGATCACCAGACTTATGCAACAATTTGGCTTGACAGTAGTAACAAAGAACTCAGAAAGAACTTATTATCTTAGGTTTGGCTGTTTAGCACGCAAGCTTTCACTTACAGAGGGGCATTGCCAAAAAGCCTCAAATATCCTCAGTTCTCTGCTTACTTTCTTTCACAGAGCAGTCTCACCCATTGCAAAATTAATAAATAATAATAAATAATATGAATGTAAAACTCACAGAAAGTTTCTCCAACCCCTAGCTCCCATTCCATATAATTACCCATCTGCCTATGGAAGTTGATCTATAGAAGCCTTGCTGTGAATGTAGCAAGCTAAAACCTAGAAGGGTCCCCTTTCAAATACTTTTTGACACAAACTTGTGGCTCAGTCTATAACTCCCTCCAGACCCTTAGAAGCCTGGTTCACATTCTTCCATCTCTCAACCCCCTCTGGTGAGAAAAGGGTCCAATGTTGGGTTTTGCCTAATAAAGACTGCCTGTTTCCGCAGTTTTATTTTGGGGCTGCTAAAAGGTATTGATTAGAAATTACAAATCCAGCTTCTAACCGTTGATAAATGCTGAGGGAACAATCCCAAACCAACGAGCCCCAAATATCTTCAACCTGTAACACAGAAATACCACTCTTCTCAAGAAATAATGTTCCTACTCCATCAAACTTAAAAAATAATAAGATAGAGCAGCTTTCATTCTGAACAACATTAAATTTTCTGGGTCACTTTTTTCTGTCTCATCGGGCCACGTTTACAACCTGACAGGGACGGCAAAGACGGTCTCTTCACGCGGCCAGGTCGGTTGTCGCCCTCTGAGAGCGAATACCTTACCGTCCCCTTCCCCAAGAACAGACCTCCCACCCGCCCTGCCCTCCACACCTCACCACTCGCTTTTCTTTTCCTCCAAGCCGCAAAAGGGCGAGCTTCTTCAGAAAAAAAGTTAATGAACCTCTGCTTCTGGGGTAAAGGTGCCCCACCTGCGATCATAAAATCGGAAGACTGGAAATTCCTAAGAGCGCGTCCACTCTGCGCGCTGGACCCACTCAGTGAGCGCTTCACACCCAGAAACCCGGGAACATGATTTATATGCAGACCTGCACCCATCCCACACAAGTCCGCACGCCAGCTTGCCTAACCACTTATGTAAGCTCGTGCCTCTACAGTCCCAAACTGCACACACACACACACGCGCGCGCGCGCGCACTCACCGACACCTGTCACGCAACTGAAATGGACAGCATCCACACCCAGGAGATGAAATGAAATCAACACATATGAATTGGGGGGGAGGGGTCTGCCGTTTTAAAACATCTTTTCCCCCCATTTGTTTCTTGCCCGTTTTTGTCACAACTACAATTACCTTAGCAACCAAAGAATTGCACTGACTCCCCCTCCGGCTTCTGAATTTCTCCTAAAGCCAAGCTTGCGCCAGGTTCATGGAAAAGCTAGAGAAGCCCAGAGAACGAGGGACCCGCAGCCTCTGTGGGGCGGAGGGGACGTCCGAGGCGGTGTCCCCGCTGCTCTCCAGCGACCCGCCTCGTCTTTGCGACTTGCCGCGGTGGCGAGCGCGGGGCTCAGCGAGCGGAAAGCGAAGCCCGGGGCCGGCGAGGAGGCGCGGCGGGTCGCATGGTGCCTGGGGCGCGGGGCGCTCGGGGTCTCCGGCGCTCGGCCCTCGCCCGCCTCGGCCGCCCCAGGACGCGGGGGTCCGCGGAGATCGGTCCGCCCCCTCGGCGCCCGCGGGTTCCCGCAGCTGGGGGAAGCCGGAGTCGGGCGGAGCTCTCGCCGCGAGCAGGGCCGGGCGCAGGAGCTGCCCCAACTCGTGAAGTCGCTCGGCTCCGCCGCTCGCGATCCGCCGCAGCGGCGCCCGCTGTCGGGTGTCGAGCAGAGCTGCAACCCCGCGCCGCGCGCACCTGGGCGCCGGCACCTGGGCCCCGAGTCGCACGGCGCGGGGCGGGGCAGGGGCGGGGTCGGGGTGGGGCAGGGGCGGGGCCGGGGCGGGGGCCAGGAGGAGCCGAGGCACCTGCGCGCGTCCGCCGGGCTCACCTGCTCCCAGCGCCGCGGATGCTGCAGACTGTGATTGTGATGTGCACGAGCCAGGGAAAGCCTAGAAATTCCTGCGCTTTAGCTGCCTCCGAGAAAACTGGCAGACTGGCTCAGCGACGCGGAGTCTCCTGTGGTCAGTCCCGAGAGCTGGCCGCGTCTGGAAACTTCAGTGGCGTCAGGGCTGTCTAAGGGATTCCAGGTCCGGAGTGATTTTGCACGGTAGCTTGGAATCGCCGACGTGTGCCTGGCGCCCCCTAAATTAAAATGGGTCACCGAGATCGTCAGGGATATTGTTATTAACCTCGTTATTTTTATCGATTCAACATTTACACAACATGCTGTATTTGGAATATTTTATGATCATTCGTATCTGGAACACCACAAAAGAATTTTTAAGAAAAATTAACTCTGCAAATGTTCTTGGGGAAAAAAGAAAAAAAGTTGAAGACAGAAAATGAGGAAGGGTAATTTGAACTGAAGACATCCTTTAATGTGGGATCTTTGAAACTGGGTATTTACCTAAAACCTCAGGAAGATGCATGTGAAAACAACAAGATTGTGGGTGCTGGATGGTAACCATGGGAATGGTGTGCAATATCGATGTAACCAATATCAAGAGTAAATTGAAGATTTATTCTTGAATTGTATTGTGTTACCAGGAAAACAAAAACTTGAAATAAAAGGTTTCTAAGGATGGATGACCTGGGCTGTCTTCATCCACGTGAGTCCAGAGGTTGAAATTTAATGTCTCCTTCCCAATATAACAGCTCCCTTCCCACCGTCCTATACTGAGTAATGGATATATTCACTCTTTAATCCAATAAACAGCAATTAGTATCTGCCCTGTGTCAGACCCTCTGCTAAGCACTAGAAATTGATGAAATAAGTCCCTGGCCTCAGACCCTTTTGCCTAATGGGGACAGTGACACAAGCAGATATAGGTATTACCTTGGGCTAAGTCACGAAAGTGGTACCACCAAAACCTGGAAGAAAACCTGCAACCTAAGGAAACCACACTTAAACCTAATGAGTAAAATATAATTTCAATTGATGTCCCAGTTATTTCGTTTATTAAAATTGAAATATAAAATGTTTCCTTCCCCAGGTTTAGCATTTGGCTTAAGCATCTTTGTGGAGCTGGCTGCAGTTGTGTAACACTTGGAGAACAGGGTGCTTACCGAGAGATGGGTGGTGATTGGGGCTCTTCCTCCTTGTGGAGCTCTGCATTTCTGAGACCAGCAGCTTCTTGAGGGTCAGTCATGAGGGAACATCCGAAGAAAGGTCTCACTGTGTATTTCCCTTGATACAGTAGTATCGAAAATAAAATACTTCAGAATAAACCAAGGAGGTGGAAGATTCACATACTGACAATTGTAAGGCACTGAAGAAAGAAATTGAAGAAGACACAAATAAATGGAAAGATGTCCCATGTTCATGGATTGAAGGAGTTAATATTATAAAAAATATTCATACTACCCAAAGCCATTTACAGATTCAGCATAATTTCTGTCAAAATTCCAATACCATTTTACACTGAAGAAAAGAATCCTAAAATGTATATGGTATCATAAAAGACCCCAAATAGCCAAAGCAGTAAAGAGCAAGAAGAGTAAAGCTAAAGGCATCACACTACTATAGCTGGTTTCACAAAGCTATAGTAACCAAAACAGCATGGTATTAGCATAAAAACAGACAAGTAGACCAATGCAGAGCCCAGAAATAAGCCCACTCATAAACAGTCAATGAATGTTTGACAAGGGAGCCAAGAATATTCAGTGGGGAAAGGATAGTCTCTTCAATAATGTATATTAGGAAAGCTGGATAGTCACTTGCAAAAGAATGAAAATGGATCCCTATCTTATACAACTCACAAAAATCAACTCCAAATGGATTAAAGACAAATGTAAGACACAAAATGGAAAAACTACTAGAAGAAAACAGAGGAAAATCTCTTTGCTGTTAGTCTTGGCAATAATTTTTTGGATATGACTCCAGAAAACACAAGTAACAAAAGTAAAAATAAACAAGTGGGACTACATCAAACTAAATAGCTTCTGTATGGCAAAGGAAACAGCAAATGAAAAGGCAACTTATAGAATGGGGAGAAAATATTTTCAAATCATCTACCTGATAAGGAGTTAATATCCAAAATGTATAAGAACTCAAATAACTCAATAGAAACCAGTTTAAAAAATGGGCAAAGGACTTGAATAGACATTTTTCTGAAGAAGACATACAGATGGCCAACAGGTACATGAAAAAATTTTCAACATCACTCATCACTAATTTTAAGGAAATGTAAATTAAAACCACAATAAGATATCACTTCACACCTGTTAGAATGGTATTTTCAAAAAGACAAATGACAAGTATTATTGATGAAGTAGAGAAAGGGGAACCCTTGAACACTGTTGATGGGAATGTAAATTGGTATAGCCACTATGGAAAACAGTATACAGTTTCCTCAAAAAATTAAAAACAGAACTACCACATGATCCAGCAATTTCACTTCTGGATATATATCCAAAAAAAAGTTATATGCAACCTCATGTTCATTGCAACATTACCTATAATAGCCAAGACATGGAAACAACCTGATTGTCCATGGACACATGAATGGATCACACACACACACACACACACACACACACACACATTTACTATTATTATCAAAATTATTATGAAATTCCAATGGAATTTTTCACAGAAATAACCAGTATTAGATATACCAAAAAGAAGGAAATTCTGTTACTTGCAACAATATGAATGGACCTTGAGGGAACTACACTAAGTGAGATAAATCAGAGAAAGACATATACTGTATGAATTCACTGTGGAATCTAAAAAAGTTGAACCCACAGGAATACATAGTAGAATGGCAGTTACCAGAGGATGGGAGAATTGAGAAGATGTTGATCAAAGGGTACAAACCTAGTTATTAGATGCATAAGTTCTAGGGATCTAATGCACAGCATGGTGACCACAATTAACAATACTGTATTATACTTAAAAGTTGTTAACAGAGTAAATATTAATTGTTATGCACACAGAAAGTGGTAATTCTGTGAGGGGATGGAAGTGTTAACTAACCTTATTATAGTACTCATTTTGTAATATATACATGAATCAAATAATCACAAAGTACACCTTGAACTTCATGTTTGTTATATATATCAGTAATATCTCAATAAAGCTAGGGACATATATTTATATAAAATCAGATATCATATATGTACTTATATTGATATATTTTATGTATTATATGGGCTTTCTAATACATGATATATAATTTCTTATATAAATATGGAAATATTTTATTTCATTGTGTTCAATTTCATATGAAATATTTAATTACACACATATACATATACTTATATCTATAACACGCACATAGACATATATACTATATAATTTTATAATATATATAAGTTATATATAATTTAATATAACATTTATACTATAAATACAATTTTATATATATATATATGTATATAATAAAAATAACTAACTTCATAGAGACAGGCCATATTTTTTGCTACCATGTTCAGCACATTGGTTTACTTACCAAGAATTGAGCAAACAAATATGTATATTAAGGATATAGGAGGCAGTTTTCTCACTGTTGAAGAAGGGAATTATAGGTATAAAAAGAAGGAAGACTAAAGGAAACCCAGTGATGTGACTTGAAATTAGAGGAGATGGTATGAAATATTTTTAATTTACATACATAAAAAAATAGAAAAATATATGTAGAGGTATATGTGTGTATATATGCTGATATGTTTCCTAGTTCTGTCCACTGAGAGAGTCTAAATCCAACAGTACCCCAGTAGCTATGAACACACCTAACATCAGACTCTGATTTATTTTATTTTATTTTATTTTATTTTTTCAGTGTTCCAAGATTCATTGTTTATGCACCACACCCAGTGCTCCATGCAATACGTGCCCTCCTTAATACCCACCACCAGGCTCACCCTACCCCCACCCTCCTCCACTCTAAAACCCTCAGTTTGTTTCTCAGAGTCCACAGTCTCTCACAGTTCCTCTCCCCTCCAATTTCCCCCAACTCACTTCTCCTCTCCTTCACCCATTGTCCTCCGTGTTATTCCTTATGCTCCACAAATAAGTGAAACCATATGATAATTGACTTTTTCTGTGTGACTTATTTCACTCAGCATAATCTCCTCCATTCCCATCCATGTTGATACAAAAGTTGGGTATTCATTCTTTCTGATGGAGGCATAATACTCCATTGTATATATGGATCACATCTTCTTTACCCATTCATCTGTTGAAGGGCATCTTGGCTCTTTCCACATTTTGGTGACTATGGCCATTGCTGCTATGAACATCGGGGTACATATGGCCCTTCTGTCAGACTCTGATTTTAAAATACCATTCTCCACAAAAAGGAACCATAGCTCCATGACATAGTAGGTGAAACTGGAATAATTTGTTGTGTAAGAAAATAAGAAGGTACTTAAAGAATTATGGAGCTATGTCAAAAGAATGTAGGAGGCTGAAGAGGTCTCCACTGGCCAAATCTAGGACAATTTAAGCATCAAAATAAATAATGACAGTGACAAGTTATAACTTTTAAGTAAAATAGAAATCAATGAGTCCATTCTGGTAGAAAGGGGGAAAAAAGGAGAAAGGAAAGTTCTACTGGTAGAATACCACTAATAGATGAAGAAAGAAAGAATTAGAAAATCACCATTTT